AGACCCCCAGGCCTGATGACACAACCAGGTCTTGAGGGACTTCCTAAATGACAGCAGGGAAAGGGCAAGCCTCCCTGCAGGGAGAAGAATGTTCCACGAGGAGGGAGCCACGGCAGAGAAGGCCTGCCTCCTGGGGCCCACCAAACGCAAGTCCCTGGCCAATGGAACCCATAGCATACCTTTCCTGCCAGATCTAATAGGACAGGCTGATGTAATTAGGGAGAGGCGGTTCCTCAGATAACCTGGCTCCATGCCATGAAGGGCTTTAAAGGTCAAAAACAGCACTTTGAATTGGACCTGGAAGCAAACTGGCAGCCAATGAAACTCATGAAGCTCTTCTAGGAGCACACATAACTATTGCGCTGCTGCATTCTGTACCAGTTGAACCTTCCAGATACTCTTCAAGGGCAGCCCCATGGCACATTACAGTAGTCCAATCTGGAGGTGACTAGGGCATGAGTGACTGTGAGCAGAGCCTCCTAGGGCATGAGTGACTGTGAGCAGAGCCTCCTAGGGCATGAGTGACTGTGAGCAGAGCCTCCTAGGGCATGAGTGACTGTGAGCAGAGCCTCCCGATCCAGGAAAGGGCACAATTGGCACACAACACAAAGCTTTGCAAAGGCCCTCCTAGCCACAACGGCCACTTGTTCTTCAAGCAGGAGTCACGAGTCTAGGAGGGCCTGCAGATTGCGCACTGGGTCTGTCTGGGGCAGTGTCCCCCCATCCAGCACCAAAGATGGTATAGTCCCAGAACTGGCAGGACCCCAAACCCAAAGCCACTCAGTCTTGCCAGAGTTCAGTTGAAGCCTGTTGTTCTCCATCCAGACCCTCACAGTCTCCAGGCACCGGGTCCACAGCAATTTGGAAAAATATTGAGTATATAGGTAGATTGACCCTTGATAACTTCTCAAAAAAACCAAGAAAAAGTGCATATATTTAAGCATGCATGTGACATACTATTATATTTTCTAGTTTCTATGCATTAACTAAGAAATATGTAAACATTTTAACATTCTACTATTACAAGTACAGTATTTGCAATTTACTCATATGCTCGTTTTGTGGCACACAAATTTGTACTTGGTTTCAGAAAGCCTGCACAAAACTATTTTTTCTCCTGCACATGGCACATCAGAAATTAGAAGGAACACTGTCACCTACCAAAGCAATATGAACCGTGAATTCCACTCCAATTCCAACAGATGCGATCAGGATGACAACAGGTACCGCACTTAGCTTTATTCCAATTAGACCCATCATGCCAAAGAGTTCCACTGTCATAAGAGCCAGTACAACCACCTAAAAGGTTTCAGATGGTGGTTAACAATTTATCATCTTGCAGAAACAAAAGGGTTAACTGAAAGCATAATAACTTCCTTATTTTTAAAAAAATCTTAAGTTATTGAATAAAGTGTCTGTATCCTTAGAAATGCCATGTTAATCATTTCCTCTGAAGATAGGTGTGCAATTCTGTTTTCTTATGATTTGGCATTGCAATCTAAAACATTGTTAGCCTTCTTCTGCTTTTTTGCATTGTTTCACCCCTACTTAATGCAGTCCTAGTACAGAGATAAATACATAAAAAGATACAGGGTTTGGGCTAAATAGATAACTGGATGAGGTGGAGGTCTAAAAATTCTGTTCAAAAGTTACAATTCCTTTCTACAACCAAACCCACCTCTGTAGGAATTACAATAAATTATTTTATAAGCTAATGACTCATGACTGATAACATACACAGCCAAGTCTTTAGACAGCTCTTCTAGACTAAACATTTACCTTTTAACATACCTGTTGTACAAATCTATAGGCCAAAACCCGGTAATCATTTTTTACCTCTACCATTTTATAAGTCACAGAGAAGTTCATAAAGTTTAGACAGAATAACATCAAACATTCTGCTTGAAAAGAATACCAGTGTACTGAAAGATGTCCGGTGCTTCCCAGAACATATAAAAAAGTAGTCTATACAATTTATATTCACCATTTTATTTCTTTTACACCCTGCAGCTCTGTCCTGCATTTTTCTCTCCCATTGGAGCTGAACACTGTTATGGGCAACCAGACTCCTCAAGAGTGAAGAAGAGGCACAATACCCACCATAGTCTAGGATTATGGCAGCACTAGAGGCCAAGGGTGGTCAGATGCTGGAATCCAGAGAGTCTGTGCAGTTCTTTTACATCTAAGCATGATCACCCCCAGGATCACCAGGAAAAGTAGTCCAACCTAAGTTTCAAGGAGACCCATGGTTTGGGGATTATCTTGCCTCTTTTGTCTGGGACCCCTGAAAACCTGAGAACTAACAGCAAAAGCTGTATAGGACTAAATTAAGATGTTTAAAATAAGAGAACCATTTCCTAAACAAAAACTGTCCTTAACAAATACATACACATTTATACAAAACATTTGATAATTTTGACTTTTTTCCTAGGTATCTAGACAAAAACAAAAATTTAGCCACCTTTATTTTTAAAACTTCAACAAATAGACTGGGCCAAAGTATTAAGGTGATTAAGGCGTATACCTTTACCAGGAAAACCTACCCCCTCAAGAAGTAGAATAAATATATCATGAATGATGCAATATGCACACTCCATCAGTAGCTCAGACATAAACAAAACCTTCCTGACTGTAGCAAGAGCTATGCTAAAAGGAATTTGACTTCAACAAAGACTTACAATGATCCCAGCTGTCCAGGGGTTCAGAAGAATGAGGGCACACACCAGAAATGTGCAGGCCAGAACCACACTAATGGACAAGAGGAGCCAATGACGAAGGCTTATATATTGTTCCCAAAAGAGAAATGGATACCCGTTTGGATAACTGGGAATCCCAAGGCTAGTGTAATTATTGCAGATTGCTCTCACTTTCTCTATAGCTTCCACAAAATCAGAGGTATCACGCAGTCCATTGAGGTAGAAAGGAAATTGAGCATATTCAATAGGCTCAGCTTCTGGGACTAAGGAAAGAAGAAAAAAAGATAAATATTTTATGCATACACACAGAGAGAATGATAAATACAGAGGGAAAAAGATGAGTGTGATTGTTTAGATTTCCTGTGTTAGCATAGGTCTGTGTACTAATTTACATTTAAATATGTCTTTGGATATACCAGTGAAATACAACACATACAGTTCACTGAATAATAAAAAGGTATAGGGTATGTCAGATTTCATTCATGCATGCCTCCACTGGATTGTTCTATCATGGTGCATATTTGAAAGTTACAAAGAAACCCCAAAGAACACTCTAAAGAGAAAATAGCAGCGGTATTCTAAAACCACTAATCTTTTGTGGCTGGAAAGTCTTTCTTGTCCCAGAACAGAAAAAATCCTTTAGGGTTGGCCTTTTGTCACACAGTACGTTTTTGCACACTGTAGGGATTTTCAGAGAAGATGCTGTTTGTCCACTACAGTAAAAGCAAAGAGAAACTAACATATTTTCTGTGGATTTATTTATGTGAATTAGTCCATGAAAGCTTACGCCATAATGCATTTTAGCCTTTTCGATTCTACAAGATACTTTGTCATTGTTGTAAACTAATCACCTCTCCACCCACATTTTGAATATCTGCTGTTAACCTGGAACAAAGATATAGCTTATCATATTATAACAGTACCTATATTGTTTACAAACTGTCAAGGCATCAAGTACCTCCATTTAAATTATTTTAGATATGAAGCCAAACCACTAAGATGGAAAGGATTTTAAAATATCCATTCAACTAAATCTGTTATGTTTCATAATTTACTATCAGCAAATATTAAGTCCTGAGTGACAACCACACAAATATTTGGAGATTAAAATGTGTTTAATATTTGGACTAAGGGGGATTACAAAATCTCAAGTACCTTTGTACTACTCTGATATAAGGGTAATATTTCTGAAATCCTTGTGTTGCTGACAGCACTATAATCCCAACAATTTACAATGAAGCAGTGAATAGGGCCAGGATTTGTAATCAGTTAAATATTTTGAATGCTAAAGCTAGCCAGTACATTTGTTACATTTTCTCTGGCTATTGGAAATGAGCTTGAGAGCATGTTCCAGTCAGTCAAAGAAAGATTAAATACTTCAAGTGGTTTATTCAGGAAATACATAATTTTTATCCTTTAATGACATGGCATATCCACATTTTTCATGCTCTTTTTGAAAGCAATGCTAAGTCCACCATACAACCCATTCTTTCCCCCACTAAAGGAAGCTTTTTATAACTAGCTTTGGAGCACACTAGCTGTGTGTTCCAGACTCTGCAGGGTCATTCCCTTGACTTGCTAAACATGATTTGCACTATTATAATCTCAACTATAAATTTTCATTAAGACAAGATTTGGCTGAATGCCCAAGAGCTTTAGGATTGAGATAGAAGGAAGCACAATTTCCTTGTTATCCAGTTGTATTGCCATAAATACCACTCCTCTTCTTCCTTCACGCCTGCCACCCAATAACTAGCCAGCAGCCCAACCAATAAATCAAGTGTCAAAGCAAGATTAAAGTGGTATTGCTATTTAGAATGCAACAGAGAGAGTTGAGGAAAGAATGCAAGGAAAAAGGATACAGAACTCTTATACGTGTTCTCATTCGCATCTAAACAGTTCACAGGCACAACACAGGTATTAGGGAATGACCTAATTTTCCAGAAATTCTTTGCTTGCTGACAGATTCAGAATACACATGGCATAATTCCCAATGATAAAAACTCTGCATTTGCAAAGGCAGGACATCATGGAAACAAAAGACTTCCCTAACCCATAAAATGAGCATGCCACATTGATGAAATGCTGAGTGCAAGGCTTAAACCTTGATATAAACTATTAAGAAATTTATTTTTCAAAATGATGAACTGCTACCAAGGTGCAGCATTCTCCTACTACATTACACCACCACATCTGTCTCCTGAGTTTTTACAAAGTTACACAATATATATTATTTTGTTTATAGTCAGAGTCCTGGAAAGTGTCAGTGGACTTGAGAGTTGCTAGGCCTTGAAGGAAAAGCGGAGACATTTATATAAATAGCAAGATATTACAATAAAATATTCCTTACTGGTTACTGGCATATAGTCTGCTTTATCATGGACCCATTCTGGACGGTGGGGCCGGATGTTGGCTTGAGAGGCAGCATATGCCACAGGATCGTTGCTAACCCAGGCTGTTAGGTAAATGTAGAAAGCCTTTGGGTTAATGATTCCATCTCCATCCACCAAGCGCTGTTTAGCCAACTGCAAAATGCAAAGTCTTTCAGAATGGATGCAGTTTTAACCACTCTGGCTCAAATCTTTAACACAAAAAATCTGAGGCACACAGTGTATGAGAGTACACAGAACATATGTTTGTGAGAAACAATGTATTTTACAGGGAGACCACAAGCACATTATTCACAGCATGGGAGATAATATTTTTGAATCCAGATTTTTCAAACTGCTTGGAATGGTGTAAAATGCTTTGCGTGCAATTCGTCAGAAACATTAAATCAAAAGAAGGTTCCAGATGAATACTGAGCCAATTAAGCTTAAATTCTAAAACACAGTCTGCAGCCAAGAGGGGCAAATGACCAAACTGCCGAGAAACATATTTAAAGGTGGTTTTGAGGAAAGGGGGAAAAAAGAATCTGGCAAGAGTCCTACAGACGTCTGTGTGCAGTTAACCTCTGTTGTTAACACTGAAGGAAATGCCACCCAGTAAATGGAGGAGAGCTATAAAAATAAAACAACATCTGTATAAATTTTGCTAACGCTTGCCTCCTATGACCTACATATTTAGAAGATACCCAGCATCAAAAACCAGATGAATGTACCCTGAATGTTCTCTTCATGGAGGACACATGGGCAAATGAATTGGGTGGCTTTGAATCAGATAGTCTTAAAATTCTAGAGCAAAACCTGTTTTATCAAACAACAAAACGGGTGATACCCAGAAGGTGCTGGAAAGGGGAAAATAGCAGCTCTGTTTTGGTTATTGTTCATTCTGCCCCAACCTTCATTTTTAAGACTTTCTAATTATTTGAAAGAACAGTGGCAACAATCTTAAGGGAAAAAAAAAAAAAGCTGGAATCTGGAATCAAGTAAGCCATAGGGTATGCAACAACTGTATGTCTTCAAATTGTTTCTAGAATTGCAGAATGAAACTCATGGGCCCTGGGGTTGACATAGCACAATTTTATCCCTCCTAGGCAGAGGAAATTATACCAGGAGCCACAGGCTTAGATGGGTGGTGACTAAATTTGAAAAAAATATACATACATATATACACACACACACACACGCATACATACATACATAAAATATTTGTTACGTTGTGTATTTGCTATTTTAAGTTTTAAGAATCATTTGGAACTCTTGAATTTCATTTCATCTTCCCTTTCTGCTTCTTTCTCCTGCTGAATTTCTTGATGAAGGCTATCACACTGATAACATAAATACACAAATTGCCCACTTTTAAAACCTCAAATGTTCATCATCATCATCATCAAATTTATGACAAGAAAGATTGGACTTTATCCTGTGCAGTAAAATTAATAGATAGCGTCCTATACTGACAAAATTCTGCTTGTCACTATCTGCTGGAACTCAGAGGAGAAAGGGACCATGAGAGATGTTCTATTATGGTATACAGGAAGACTGACAGGAGAAGGGTATACCTTGGATAATCTGGGCCCAGCCTTCCAAGGTTGAAAATTACAACTCCTGCTGAGAAAGCAAACAGAGGAAACACCTTTATTTTGGGTTTGAAATAAAATGTCTCCATGGAATCATTCCCATAATTAACTGGGAAGCTATATTCTGAACTAATTGGAATTTCTGAACAGTTTTCCAAAGGAAAACGCACATAAAATGTATACCAGTAATCTACCTTAGAAGTTACTCCTGTACGAAATGCTCTAGCCAGTAAATCAGCCTGAGCTGCCAACAAGCAGTTCTGGCTGTGGCTACTATCCGGAGTCCCGCAATAAATCTCCCACAGCAGCTGTACTCTGATTCTTGGAGAATGTGACTCATCCTCAACAAAAGTAGTACACCTTTTGGTTGGGTTCCTGAATTTAAAAGATCTGTTTGGGCTAGACTGAGTTTTCATTTTATTTTCCCACACAAGACCACCATTGTTTCCAAATATCTACTTAGAACTTTCACAGCTTTACATGACTCTGTTGTAAAGGAGAAAGAGATCTGTATCCTCAGCATACTGATAATACTTAATCTGAGAACTTTACACAATAACACCCAATGTTTTCATGAATATTATTAAAAACACATGAGTCTAAACCATACTCTGCAAAACTCTAGAAGCCAAGTCCTGTAAGACAGAGAAGCACTTTTTGGATTTTTCCCAGCAGCTAGGAGCAAAGTCACCATAACACAGAAGCTATGGCTCTTGGCCTAATGAAGGCCTCAGAAAAGGATACCACAGCACCAAAGATAAGTGTAGAGAAATATTAGAATCATATTCTGATTCCTGTTGAGTGATGAACAGGCTAGGAGACATGCTGTTGCTGATAACCAGAAGTCCCTAGAGTTCCACAGCTACAATCTATTTTCCAAGAAAATATATTCTGAAACCTGTGCAGTCATTATTCATGTTGAGAGGACTCCCGTGTGTGTTTTTTCAGAGATTTCAAATTTGCTTTCCTTCAAGAAGGCAATAACAAATAGCACAAATGCTATTAACTCATCACCAAACCAGCTAGCTTAAGGTAGCTGGATACAGTTAGGCAGAGGATAGAATAGGGTTTTGTATGGTGCAAGGAAGAAAACTAGGGAGAAGGCAATGCGGTTCATGACCAATATAATATAAGATCCATGAGAGACAATAGTAATCATCATTGCTCCACTGTGGTTCCTCGGAGATTGCCCAGAGCTACAGCTGAACACAACCAATCCCAAAGGTCAAGACACAAGCATACAAGTAATCAGTCAGATATTTTCAACAATTCTGAGCACATTCTCAGCTGAAATCAGCTGAAATCAATTGGAACTCATTCTAGCAACTGCTAGCTGTCAGCACTTGCATATCTATATTGATTACAGCAACCAATTTATCCTGAGCTTATTTCCACCATTGTTCAACTCATTACTTGTTTTAAGTGCCTTAAATTACCAAGCAGATACTGTATTTTTCCGGCTATAAGACGATACTTTTTTTCTAAAATCCTTACTCTAAAAATTGAAGGGCGTCTTATGCAAGGAAGTAAGCCGAGGAGAGAACCATGCGGTTGCAAAACTG